TGGAGGCTCCCCCAGGCCACGCCCCCCCGCAGACTCCGCCCCCGTGCCGCCGACATTTTCCCTCCAGGAAAACACTAATTATAATAAACCAACCCGAAGGAGGTTTTTTTTTAGCAATAGGAAAATTTAATTAACAAACATAAAACTGTCTTTTTTCCCCCCTCCCTTTCTCTTTGAAGCCACAGCAGCGACCCCAGCCCTGACACTTCCCCTCCACCCCCCCTCACATTAAACCAGCTTTTTTCAAGTCCTCTGGCAGAACCCTGCCCTTCTTCCTGGCCCTGGCTTTCTTCTTCTCTATCCTGTCCTTCTTCTTCTTCTGGATGTTCTTGCGACGCTTTTCCTGCCGCTGCTGCATCTTCTCCACCACTCTGACCGTCCGACTCTCCCACTGCCTTTGGCGCTGGGCTTTGAGCTTCTCCTTCCGCTTCAGGGCCTCCTTCAGGCGCTCCTCGTTGTCACGGATCTTCACGCCTTCTGCCTTGTAGAGAGCGTTTGTCCACTTCATCTTGTTCTCCAGCTCCTGAGCTTTCTTCTGGTCCTTATCCTTCAGTTCCTCCAGCTTGTTCTTCCTGGTCTCCAGCCTGCTCAGCAGCTGCTTGTAGTTCTTGCCCGTCAGAGGAGTGATGTTGCCTTTCACGGCTTTCCTCTTCTCTTTCTTCTTCTGGATCTTGTTCAACTCGTTCTCTCCGTGGACTTCGACCCTGTTAAAGACAACCTCAGCTGTGCTCTCCTCCTTTTTGCTTTCTGGCTCTACCGGTACCTCCTCGGTTTCTTTCTTCTCCATTTTTGCCTTCATCTTCAATTCTTTCCTCCGTCGCTTCTTTCTCTCCCTCTCATACTTCCTGCGCTGCCTCTTCTCCAGGACTGCAGGGGGCAATTCTTTGACATCACCCTAAAAAGAGGGATGGACACAAATCAGGAGCCTTAGGGGGATAAAGCAGCATTAAAAGCAGGACGTCCTCAAGTTCCTGATTTCAAACCTCTCCTAAAAAACACACTCCTTGTGACAAGCAGCTGTGGGCTCAGCTTATAGAAACTAAACACAGTGAAGGTTTCTCAAATGCTTTGCTCTATCTCAGCACCCTGTAGCCAGGACCCCTTTCAGTCTCTTAGTTGTTTCTTTCTCCTAAAAATCAGCAAGCTCCTCCAAGCCAGGCCCGACCTTTCATCATGCGTTTTTCCAGCCCCCAGGAAAGAGACAAATCTCTCAGCAACACCTATAGCTACTTCCTTAAGAGACAGAATCAGCCCAAACCCTTGTCAGATCGTGGTCTTGTCCCCACAGCCCCTGGAAGGCTGGGGGGAATTAGTATTACATAAACATGTACACAGATATATATTAAGAGTTCTCATACTTGTCCAGAAGCTTTTTTAATCTTTTCATGTAGTCTCTGGCGCAAGAGATTCATTGCAGAAAAAGAAGTGGAATCCAGTTCACTTTTGCTCCCTGAAAGTGAGAAGAAAATTAAAATACTCAAAAAGATAGTACTAGCTAAAAAGAGCTTTTTAGGGTTACAGAAAAAAAACTCTGACAGCTCTTTACATGCTGTGAATAGAACTGAAAAATCTGAAGAAACAGAGTTTCTATTCATTGGTTTCTCTAGAATCTGCATCATCGTTCAATGCTGCCAGCCTGGCAGCCTGTAGCTGCCTGACAAACCAGAAGACAAGCAGCAAGCTAGTGGAAACAAAGACAACGAGGGCTTCTTTTCTTTGTCAGCAGGCTTTTTGGATTCACCTTGGAAAGCCAACCTGGCATGGCAGAGATTGCATCCACACTGTAATTCCCAGAAGTTACCCACATCCATAAAGTCTGCAGCTCAGTGTAAATTCCATCTCCAGAGAGCCACCCAGTGGTGACATCACAGAGTTATGTATGTATGCAAAAGCTTTAGGGGCACGTGGAATAAGCAAAGATGTTCTCAATTCTGCTGAGCTTGCGAAGGCTTCCCAAACTATACAGGTGTGAAGCAACTGAAGAGCAGCCACCTTGGCTCAGCTGACTTTAACCAGACCATTGCAACGCTGGGATTCCTACCTGTCATGAGGCTGTCCCTTCTGCTCTGTGTAACACCCTCTGGAGATGGCTTGCTGGCTTGAGGGGCTGCTTTCTGTCCTGGAGTGGGTTTCTTGGCATCTGAGGCCACCTGTTTGGCTGAAGGAGCATTTTTCTTCTCATGTTGCTTCTTGAGTTTCTTTCTCTTCTTTTTCTTGAGCTGCCCACCAGCATCCTCAGGCTGGCCTGGCTTAGACACTAGGAAACAAAAACTAAGTTAGTGAAAATAGAACAAAACTGCATTCCCACTTCCTAACACCCCGTTATTACTGAAGTTCCAGCACTGCAGCTGCATATCTCAACCTCCAACAATCCCCTCGTTTAGGATGCACTTGAACAGACTAAACACCCTTGTGGGCTTCAGTTAAATGCTCCCACATGGTCACCGCGTGCCCAAGGCGAGCGGAGGCCGCGGGCGAACAGCGCAACGTGCCCGGGAGCCCCGTGTTTCTGCAGGGACTGTTTCGGGTCTCTTTTCCCCCGCGGCACGGCGGCTCCGTTACCGAATTTCCTCTTCCGCGACTCCGGGGCGTGCTGCGCGCAGACCTTCCTCGCCAAGCCCTGCAGGTAGGAGTCCTGCGCGG